AATTGAAGCACCTGTAGTATTTATATAATTATTAATTAATTAGCCCCCCTTTTATTATCCTACACGAGTGTGACCACCTACAGAAAATTCTATGAATAACCAGATTGGTCCTAACCTATGGGTAATCTAATCATCAATCAAATCATATCACAGAGAATAGTTAAATAAATAAATACTCACATCAATCATAAATAACATGAAGTGAAAATCGAGGAAGTCTATTACACACCAGTAGGAAAGTAAACACCGGCCTAACCTGAAGCTAGAGTTAGTTGTCCAAACAAATAAACCTAAGTGTATGTTGTACTAGGCTGTGTAGTTTGAATATATCCTAAGTCGGTTATTGGTTAAATTTTCTAATTGATTGGATATAATTTATTATGTTAATTCTATTTGTGATTTTAATATTCGATTATATATGTATTTTATTTTTAATTTAAGGATTGATTTACTTTTATTAAACAAATATATGTTATTTATTATTTTTATAAGTTTAGTTTATATTGGTCAAAATTATTGTTTAATTCTTAAGAGAGAATTTTAATGATTATTTGATTATTATTTAGAGTTGATTGTATTTAGGTTAAGGATATTAATATTCATTCTAAAATAAGGTGTCATTAAATTTTCTATGTTATGTGTTTCTACCATAAAATATGTATGCTTCATAAGTCTAAGTTTTCTAAGACTCCGTCCTTAATTTTTATCATTAAATATCACTAATGTTATATGGGATGAAAAAGTTTATTATTGCTCACCCTTAGGACATTGCGCATGTGTAAAGGGGTTTAAGGATCTAAAATAAAATAAAAATAATCCTAATAAAATTGAAGTTACTACAGGGACCTAAAGGGGAAGGGTTCGCACAAACCACATCAAGGGCCTCCTAGGGGCTTTTTAAGTTTTAGAATATATATAGTCACCAAGGGTTACGACCCGGTGGTTCCACCCGTAGCAACTCCACCCGGTTGGATGGAGGCGACTGACGCCTTTAGTCCCTTATCCTTCTGTTCACTAGACCGGTACTATTCATTGCAATTCATGCAGATAAAGAAGAGAAAACATGTATTAGAAGCACATTTAATAATTAATAATGAATTAATTAAAATTTTCTATAAAAAATTTACCTTTCTTAAGGCTTGAACACTGATTTGTTGACTTTGATTTTAGAACTTTTCCTTTTTGAAAGCATACTTTATACTTTTCCAACATTTATCCCTAGGCACAAGAAAGGGGGAGAAAAAGAGGGGTAGAGAGAGAGGCATTGATTTTCAACACTTTTATTTTTTAATGAACACCTAACTAAACCACTCTCCAACACTCACACCTTATCTCTCAAAACACCTCAATCTTCAACAATCACCCACTTTAAAAAAAAAATTTACATACACACACTTTATTTCTCACAATTCAACCCTTTCTTTTCATTTTCACACACTTTACCTTTCAAGAAATACGCATGCCACCCTCCAAAACAAATCATTTTTCCACACACACACAACTTAATTCAAACAACTTTTTACCATTCTTTGTTTTCCAACATACACCTTTCTCACAAAATTACGCACTTTACTTTTAACACTTACACACGTCACCTTCCAAAGAAAAACACAATTCATTTTTCAAAACATACACCTTTCATCTTTCCAAAATCTCACAATTCGCTTTCAATACAGGCACTTTTCAAAACATCCCATTTTCCAACACAATCACTTTTTAAAATATTTCTCTTTTAACACAAACGCTTTTCAAAACACTTTTCCTTTTCAAAATACTTTATACACTTCAATATTCAATGCACCATTTAACACACACAAATTCTCCCTTAAAACATATACACACACACACAATTCACTTCAACACTCCATACACTTCACTATTATACATTTAGACATTCCTCCTTTCAATACATGTAAATTATTTCACTTTCCAACATACACACACACACACACACACACTTTAATTTCACTTTTTCAACTCATGTACACTTCACTCACGCACAAAATACTTTTATATACACATATACACTCCACCTTTCATCTTTCAAAGCACTTTTAACACATCTCAACTTTCAATATAAACAATACTTTACTTCCCAAAATTTTTCAAATGAGATACACACTATCTTTCAACTTATACACACACAAGTCACTTCTCAATCCAATCCTTTCACTTTCCAAAAGATGCATACAATACACATTATCTTTCACATAACAATTTCACCTTTCCAACACACGATTTCCACCTTCAACACACATATTTTCACAAAACAAACATTTTACTTTTCACAATTACACACTTCACGCTTTCCAAAATCACACTCTACACTTTTCTTTTAACCATACACTTTTCATTTTTCCAAAGAAACACACATCAACTTTCCGAATCATGCACTCATTTCATCTTGCTTTCTAACATATTTTACTTTCCAACACACGCACATCTTTCTTATTTTCCAAAATACATACAATTCCCTTTTGTTTTTTTTTTTTAAAACACATATTCTATACATTATCAAAACACTGGTAGGCACGAGGGCTCTTCAAATCTGTTACTAATTATAAATTATTAGAGCATAATTGAACCTATAAACTCCCCAAGAGAATACTTCATCATTACATAATTCATCATAAAAAAAAAGTTCAACACTGTGCACATTGAGTTCATAAATATAATACCAAAATAGAACAATGAATGCAATATCATTGGCTAAAGATCGATGTTAATACCACATTTCATTGTTAGAATGCTTTCATAAATGCCAAAATAGATAGGGTTCATCAAATAAGATGGCGTATCTAGAAGGATTGAAACCTCTTACTATCACTAAACTTTCTCTTGTGAAGAAAACATATACCACTTCAAACCATGAAATAAAACTTATTACAACACCTCACAAAATGATTGATTGAATTAAATGCAAAGCCAATATTTTATCATTCACTAGATTTTTCATATAAAATATTCTCTATCTTTGATAACATGAATTCGGGTTAATCGGGGCTATTTAAATTGACTCGACTCGAGTTAATTTGATTTTGTTTCATGTCAATTTACTTCGTAAAGTTAAATATAAAGTAATGGGTTTGAGACAAGTTTATTCGAGTTTATTTTGGATCATATCATGAGGTCGAGTTGGAAAGTCGAGTCGATGCTACGTCACTAGGTATCCACCTAAGGGGAGTCCTAAAGGAATAACATCTATACTAGACTACGAAGACTTAGTGCTAGAGTTGATTCTGAGAAAATTGACCTTGAATAATGAGGTCAACACCTACTACTTATCCCTACCCATGCATGTTCCTCCATTTTACTACACAACACCCTCTCAGCCCTCTACAACTAGACCTTCCATGCAAACTGACGCATCAACTATAGATGAGCGCATACTGATTCAACCCAAGGGTGATGCATACATAAATGTGTATGTTTTATATTATGCATATAGTTAAGAAATAATATTTTTCACCTAAATAATTTATGCAAGTTTTATTAATCAAAGAAGCTCACAAATAAGATATATAATATCATACATAGTAGGTTTGGTGCTCCATATGTCTCTTCGAAGAAAATCCTGAAGAAAGTGTGCGACATGTGGTTCAGAAAGTTTGAGGTTAGTAAATTACAATATTGTTAACATATGTCCATATTTTATTTAGCTAACAAAAAAGATTTTTTTTTTTTAATTTGTTATATACAACGATATTTCTATTGGTTGCTTAAGCATGGTACTCAAATTAGAATAAATTTTGAGAAATACGAAGCAACTCTACTGCTAGACATGTTCATACGATAAGGACAGGCGAGCGATCGCTTTGGATTGGAGAGTGTGATGGGTTGAGCTCAGTAGTACTTGGGTCAGCACAAATCATACAAAGAGGATGGATTAGAGCAGACAGAATATTTATCTAACATTGGGGGCCTGGATAGCTCCCTCCATACTAGGGCTTAGTTCCAAACACTGAGCACAGATGATGATTGATAAGAGGTTTAACATATTTTAATAATTTCTTTGGTTATACATGTTAACATAAGTATATTACAAAAGGAGATGTTTTATAGAGAATACAATCCATTGCAGTTGAGTTACACAATCACACTCACAAGTATCAAGAGGACCAGCAGTGGATGGATAAACGAGTGAGGAGGGCATATATAAGTATATAAATTTTTCATTAGTTTATTACACACTATTTACTATAATTTTAGAGTATTTTTAAGACTTGGATTAGGACATGCGAAAAATTGGTGGGGATTAATTTAATTTTTTTATTCTAAGAAGTTTTTAATTTTAATTTTTTAAGGAGAATAATATGAAAAAATATGTCAAAATATTTTAATTGGACATTAAAATTATTATATTTACCTAATTGTATTGATTTAATAATAATCTATCAACTTTTAATTCCATCATATTATAATTAGGTAAAATTTTATATTTTTTTTTTTTGGGTGAATTTTGGGGCATAGCCCGTATATTAAAAACAAAGGATTACAAGAGGGCTCCCTTCCAGGAAAAAGAACTGGAAGAAGAGAAAAGAAAACCCAAAACAATACAAAGAGTAAACTAAGCAAAACCAGCTAAGAGAAAAGCTGGGCAAAAAAGCGCGGACTCAGGAAAAAGGGGCAAAACAAAGCAGCCAATAGCATCATGCATCAGCTCAGCAAAATATTACCACTCAAACCTTGGTTGCCAGGTAAGAATCAATAAAGCGCTTATCTGAAAGAAGTAAACCAGCCAGTAGAAAAGCAAATCCAGACCTTCCAAGGGAACCAGAATTCCCTGGTTGTCACACAACCAAAACCATACCAAGAATAAGCACCACGTGCGGCAACCTCCATAAAGAAGATCTGACTTGGCCATCCAAAGGCAGAGAACAAAACGAGGCAACCCGGCAATGTTAGCCCTGCACATCATCGTCCGGCATAAGGGGAGCAAATTCCCCTCAAAAATATCAGAAATATAAAAAATCCAAGAGAGCCAATCGAAAGCCGCAGGCCTAAAAACAGCTGGGAAAGGCCACTTTAAGCAACTCAATTCTCTTCCAATTGAAGGTCTTAACTTTGATAGCATGAATAATCCTCCTAATAGAATCCTGAACCGTATTCTTAGAAGCAGTAAATCTCAAAGTGTTTCTATCCCTCCAAAGATAATAGACAGTGCAACAAATAACAAAGTAACAGAACTCCTTCTCAAAGTTGTGAAGCCTCCTATTCCCATCAATGAAATCAAAAAGCTGGAGAAGGGTGGGAGGCAGCAAAAAGTTCCGGAACAGGGGAATAAGAGAAGAGATCACAGCAAAAGTATGGGCACATTGAAAAAAACAATGTACAATACTTTCCGCCTCCTTCCGGCATAATGGGCAAACCGGATTAATAACAATATTCCTTTTAGCAAGTATATCTGCAGTTTTTAAACCATCAAGAAGGGTCAGCCACACATAAGCGGAATGCCTTAAAGCTGTATTCTTGTGCCACACAAATTTGTACCAATGAACCGTTTCTAAGTCAGAATAAAATTTCATGTAAAAGGTCTTAAAAACCGGATTAGAGGAGCCAATCCACGTAACAGCATGGATCGGTCCATTCAAAATAGGAACATAAGTAATACGATTCAAAAGAGGGAAAGCAGACCAATTAGAAAAAGACCATCTCCCATCAGAAATAAATTCCTTCACAGTATAATTATTCAGCAAGTGTCCTTGAGACAGTTCAGAAACAGCAAAACCAGCACACCAAGGGTCCCATAGCATAGACAAATTGCAGTTAATGGATGAGACATGAAAGGCCAAGTCTCCTTTGACCTTGGAGGCAGTGGATGAGATAAATTTCCAGAATTTAGAGGCTCTCACAAGCAAAGGCTTATATGGGGAAGAATACTTAGCTCTAAGCCAATCCCCAACAATAGTGTCAAAATTATAATATCTCCATAAAAAAGAGACCCCATGAGCAAACTGCAGTGAGTTAATGGATGGTAGGCCAAGGCCACCACAACACTTAGGGGTGCTGGTTTTCTTCCAAGAAACCAGATGTAGTTTCTTAGCAGCCACCGAACCATGGAAAAGAAACTTAGAACAAAGTTTATCAATCTGCTTGGAAATTAATTTTGGTAAAATGGAGCCTCTTATCCAATAAGCGATAGTGTTGAAGATGGTAAACTTAAGAAATTGAATTCTACCTGCAAAAGACAAGAATTTGACTTTCCAACCAGCAAGTAGAGAAGCAAGCTTACTCAGAAGTGGTTGGAAGTGAGTATTTTTAAGGTTTTTAGTGGAAATGGGTAGGCCAAGATATGTAAAAGAATTCTCAAAATGCGAGAACCCGAGCAGGGAAGTAATGGACCTGGCTTGAGAAGTGTTATAAGAGAACATAATAGAACATTTTGCATTGTTAACCTTCAAGCCCGAATGATCAGCAAAAATGGAAAGAGCCTCATTAAGCATGTCAGCATTAGAAATAGAGGCCTTTCCAAACACCAGAATGTCATCTGCATAAAGTAGGTGCTTCACCGAAGTATTTCCACAAGAGATCACTTCAAAATTACTGACATCAATCCCACAAGAGAAGGCATCCATAACCACGGAGAAAAGGAGAGGAGATAATGGGCACCCTTGTCTCAAGCCAGAAGTAGAGTGAAAAAACCCCTCCAAAGAACCATTGATGCAAACCGAAAAGAACACATCTTCAATGCACCCCTTAATCCATTTCACAAAAAGTGGAGGAAAGCCTTTAGAATAAGCCGTGATATAAGGAAATCACGAGAAACAGTATCGAAAGCTTTCTTGATATCCAATTTAGCACAGAAAAATTTCTCCCTAGCATTAGCAGCATTAAAACCATTAAGAATCTCTCCAGCCAGGATAACATTTTCAGTAGAGATTCTATCCTTAATAAAGCCAACTTGACTCTTATGGATAATGAAAGGCATGACATCTCTCATCCTATTAGCAATAATTTTGGCAATGATCTTATAAAAGACATTGCAAAGAGAGATGGGGCGGTAATCGGAGATGTTTGAAGCATGAGTTCCTTTAGGGATGAGGGCAATGGCAGTGGCTTTGGCACATTTAGGAAGAACACCCGTGACAAAAAAACCTTTAATAGCTTTACACACCTGATCCCCAATAATATCCCAGGTGTGCTTATAAAATTCAAAGGTGATTCCATCAGGTCCTGGGGCCTTAGAAGTAGAGCCAGCAAAGACCACCTCCTTAATCTCAGAATCAGTAACCGGAGCAATAAGGGGAGCAATATGAGAAGGGGGAATAGTGGCACCAATAGGAATGGGAATGGTTTGAGAGTTATCAGGCTTTGGGGTATTGTAGAGGTTTTTAAAGTGTTGAATGGCAGCATTGGCAATGTCAGAAATGTTGGAAAAAGAGCCCTCATCAGTTTGAAGCTCCCTAATTTTGTTATAAGCTTTTCTAGAAGAAATTCTAGCATAAAGGAAGCCCAGATCATCTTCCCCTTTAGAAAGCCAGTTAGCTTTGGCCCTTTGAATCACCCAATCACTCTAAGCCTTTTGGAGAGAATCCAAAGAGTTGTTAATATCTTTCAATGCAACATTAAGATTAATGTTTAAGGGATCCTTCTGAATATGTTCAAGATAAAAGCCATGCAATTGCTGAACCTCCTTAATTCTACTACAGAGAAAGGAGGCATTGGACCACTTGCTCTTCTTAATAAAATCCTTTAATGTATGAAGCTTTGAGTAAAAAGCAGAAATGGGACTACCCAAATTATGAGAAGCAAAAACAGTAGTCAAGCCATCCCAAAAGCCATTAAGATTAAGCAAATAGTTCTTGAATTGAAACCTAGAAGTATGATTAGAAGCATTGCCCTGAAGAAGAACCAAGGGCGAGTGATCTGAACAAGAGGGGCCTTCCACTTTATAAAAAGAGTAAGGAAATAAATCAAGCCAAGCAGCATTAACCATAATTCTATCCAATTTAATGTGGATAGGATCATCCACTCTTTGATTAAACCAAGTGTAGAAGAACCCAGAGGAGGGCAATTCAAACACACCAGTATTAAAAATCCAGCTGTTCATCTCATCCAGTCGGCTATGGTGAAGGACCCTCCCACCAGCCTTTTCTTCCGGAAATATACAACAATTAAAGTCCCCGAGAATGATCCAAGGAGCCGAAATATTGGTAGCTGAATTCAGAAGCTGCTGCCAAAGGGAGGCCCTTTCGGCATAAATGTTAGCCGCATAAACAACAGACAAAAGGATCGGGGGAAGGGAACCGTAAGAGAGAGTGTCGTGAATGAGCTGCGAAGAGAAGAGAGAGGGAGCAAAAGAAATGACCGTCGGATTCCATTTAATCCAAATACGCCCAGGAGAGGAGCAATGGAAGTTATTGCAACTCTCCTCAAGAGAGAACAGCATGTGGGAGTTAACAAACCTAGAATCAGTCATGGAAGAAAGGGGAACATTGGCTTCCAAAATACAGATCAAATCAAGATGAAAAGAAGTGACGAGATTTTTGCAGGCTAGAACTTTATCAGGGGAGTTGAAACCTCTGACGTTCCAGCAACCAATAGGGCAAAAAGACATTAGTTTTTGGATGAGCGAGTCTTCTTCGCACTCTTGCCTTTGGGTCCTTTGGGTCCAGGAGGATTGGTGGGAGGCTTAGGAGGAATTTTAGGAGGGGCAACCGAGGTAGAAGCAGAATCATCAGGAGGATCCTCTTCGGGTTGCAGAATAGCAAAACGGTTGGGGGAGGAGATAGGGGGATCTGCACAAATAAAACCAGAGGCAGTCGGGTGAGGTTCATGGGACGGAGGAGAAGGAGAAGAGACAGCAAGGTGGTGGTGAGGGGAGTGTGGAGGGTAGTCAGAGGAGGACAAAGAATCCATGGGAGAGTTGAGATTAGGGAGAGGTTCCTTCGGCTGAGCAACCAACAGCGCCGATTGAGGCACATCAATGATAGAAGAAGGAATGTGAGAAGCAGTGGAAGGAGGGGGTAAGGTGGCAGGTGGAGTTAAGGATGATGGTGTAGGAGGTGTGACAATGGGTAAGGTGACAGGTGGAGGTAAGGATGATGGTGGAGGTAAGGTGGTCGGAGGAGCAATAGGTATTGATGGTGGGACAATGGGTGTTGATGAAGGAGGTGGAGGTAAGGTGGTCGGGGGAGGAATAGTGGAACCGGTAGGGGCAGGGGAAGGCAGAAGAGCCATGGTGCTAGGAGAAGGGATGGGAGGTCGAGAAATCCTTGCACGGGAGGAGCTTCTACCACGAGATTGAGGGACAGTAGTTTTAGGTTGTGGATTAACATGGCATAAAGAGGAGGGATGCACAATGGAACCACACCAAGTACAAGGCGTGGGCTTCCAGTCATATATGACTTTTAAAGAAACATCGTCCCCATCAAGACAAACAGGGATTTCTTCCGGTAAGGGGGAGTTGCCAGAAACAAGAACACACACTCTGGCGTAAGTAAGTCGAGTTTTCCATGCAGTTAGCGCATCAACAGCAAGGGGACGGCCAATAAAGCTTGCAATTTTAGAGATACCATTCGGATTCCACACCGCTAAAGGTAAATCCACAATTTTAATCCAAATAGGGATAGAGGAAAACTCATCTCGCTTGGGCTTGAATTTCGGCGACCATTATTGCAGAATGAACGGCCGACCAAAGAAAAACCACGGTCCCCCGGCCCATGCAGTCTGGTAATCCTCCGGAGCAGAAAATTTGAAGAGGAAGAAACCATCTTTAAGTGAAAGAAGCTCCACCGATCCTTTAGGATTCCAGGCCCTCTTGACAGCATTTAACAAACTAAGGTAAGTCGGTCTTGGCCCGATAGAGTAACCAACAAGGGAAGAGCCCCAATCAGGAACTCCTAAAGCGAGCTCATCCGCAGAGAACGGAACCTTTGTAGAAGGTGGGACGAACGCAAGGTAAAACTGACCAGCAACAGGATCCTCTTTAGTAAGGTTGGAAACAAAGTTCAGTTCAACCGGAAGGACAGGAGCCAGAGAAGAAGGGGGGAGGGATCCAGGTATCGGAGGGAAATTCGTAAGATACGAGGAAGAAGCCATGGAGAGGGGAAGGGGAGGACCAGAAAACCCCCCTTCCCGCGCAAGGGCGGGAGGAACAACTCAGTGGCGGCGAGAGGGTAAAACCCTAGCAGAGCTCATGCGCGTTGGAATGGCAACAGTAAATGGAAGGAGGCATATGCATGCAGATGCACATGTAAAATTTTATATTAAGATATCTTTCTCCAAACAAAAAAAAAATGATAAATTTTAAAATTCTTACTTGAATTTTAAGATCAGCACAACATATAATTAATTTATATCATATTTATCTAAAAATATTTTAAATTATTCTTTATAAAAAATATGATCAGAATATTCTCATCCGATATTTTTTCATAATTTTATGTGAGAATCTCTTGTACGATAAGATTATTTCAATGATTGCATGCCCACGACATGGGGTTATTTTATTTCTTTTTGCTACGCGTTGACGTAAGGAATGACACAAGCAGACGTCTAATCATTATCATAACAATTATTGCCATTTCTAAATTAAATTAATCATTTTTTGCTTTTTAATTAAATAGTTTCCTTGGTTGCATGGGCGAAACCCGTTTGGGGCTAGGGGGCAACCCCTAAAAATAAATTATTATACTCTTATTTAAGTGATTTTTAATCTTTATTATAAAAATTTTTAGGCAATTGTCCCCCCTAAAAATATTAAAATACTATAGATTTTAGACAATTGCCCTCAATATAATTAAATACATTGTGTATATGTGTTATTGTTAGGGAATGATAAACCAAATACAAAGAGAAATTGTAAACTTGATATGTCATCAAAAAATTATCTTGATCGAGCACTAATCTCGAGGCAAAAGCAAGCCAGCAACTTCAAAAATTAAATCCGGGATCACCTGAACTTCGATTTTAGCAAACTTATAGTCAAACTGAGCATCTCGGAAATACGAACCCAACGACACCAAATTCGACTCAATCCGAGCACAAATGAGCCCAAATCAAGGACCCGAAGCGCTGTTGAAAGCTTCATACCACTGTTTGAGTTACCAAACGGTTTTCAAATATGACGACCATATATTTAAATCGAGCGGCTCAACGAGACGAATCCAACGAGCCTAAGATCACTGAATTCCAAAATCATTAAGGCCTCCAAATGCCTGACGAACGGCCCATGATCAAGGGATTCAATATCGACCGTCCATCAAACCACTCCACATTTATCCTTGATCTCTTACCTATTTACGAGCCATACCACTCCAAAAATCTATAAATAGACCCCTCGTTTCTCTTGAAAGGGGAACCAAGAAAGAGAGAGAAGAATATAAAAAGAGAAGATAGAAGGAAGAAGCTCCTCCTCGACCACCACCAGAGTTTCGCCGGACCACCACTGGTCCACTATCGGAATCTCACTGGACCACCGCCGGAGCCTCGCCGGACCACCACCGGAGCCTCGCTAGACCACCGTTGGAGCTTCGCCGGACCACCACCTAAGGCCCTCACCTTCGCACCACCTGAGACCCTCACCTTCGCCAGAGCTTTGTCTGACCACCACCTGAGGCCCTCACCTTCGCCA